TTGGAATCTGAAGTTTCCCAAAGAAAAACTTTTTTCTTTACTAGAGGAACCTCTTTTCAACTTCTAAGTAAAGTTGTAGAGAAGTGTCTTGCGATCAGAGTAGCGGTTAAATGTTATAATTGGCCCAGAGGATTGAAAGATATAAGCATTTAGTCTTCACAATTATGTTTTTTTCTTTATATAAATAAAGAAGAAATATATAGTCACAGACTAAAATGCTTATATTTCACGATTCTCTGGGACAATTATAACATTTAACCACTACTCTGATCACAAGACACTCCTCTACAACTTTACTTAGAAGTTGAAAAGAGATTCATCTAGTAAAGAAAAAAGTTTTTCTTTGGGAAAGTCCAGATTCCAAAGACAATAAAAAATATATAGTAAACATATCTCCACTGTTTACTATGGTTTGTTACTAGTTCTTAGATGGATCACGAATTAATTTAAAATATTGTAAAAGTTAAATAAAAAGGTATTGAATTTTATATAGTAATTGTTAGGGTATTTCACTTAAAATTTAAAAAAATTTAAAATATTAGTTAAGTACAAATAACAAAATTAAAAAAATAAATATTGTATATTTATCTGGCAGCCTATCATGATTGGGTGTACAAAATAAGTTATAATGCTTTATATCCAATAGCTTTATATTATTTATTGCTAATATATAGCTAATATTAAAAATAATAATATTTTTTTAGTTAAAAGAACCATAGGCTACAAAATAAACTCCAAACAATTTCTCATCGTCAATAATACAAATCTTTACCTGTTTTGCTACAAATTATAATATAAAATTGAGAAAAATATCAGAATTTAACTCCCTTTAAGCAAATCAAGCACCTAGTTAATAATTAATTTCTTCAGGCTAGTATTTATAATAATTCTTTGTTTGTTGTGCATTATTATGAAAAAATTGATTTACGATTTTTGAAATAACTTTTTCTTTAGAATATTCTTTAATAATTTAACTTATGCTAAATATAGTTTATATTTGAATTTGAAAAATTTTATATGCAAACCGAATACTGTATTGTTGTTGCATATTGCACCTAGCAACGATTTCAGAGGTTAAATTCTGAATTATACCTGTGCACTTAAGTATGTTACTATTACATTTATATATTAGGGGAAATCATAATAAATAGATTGTAGTTGTGCAATATATTTTCTAAGCGTGCATCAAGGGTATTAAAATAAACTAGAGGAATAGCTTATAACCCTAGCATCAACACTCTAAAAAATTTTGCTACCAGAGTTAGGGTTAGGTTAGGGGTAGGTTTTGGGTATTTTTAGTTTAAATTAATATTACACTTGAACTTAAATTTCAATTGGCTTAATTGCGAAATTTTTTACGCCGGAGATGTTTGGGTGGGTGAAATAGCTGGGTATGGATATTATGGAAGTATTTACATGAATAGATGGTTTTGCTTATATAATATAATTTATTTTAGAGCGTGAAATATTTAAACAGTGATAAATAATATTATATTGTGTAGATAGATAAATCGAATATCTACTTAGAAGATCATGAACATTAAATGTAAATTGATATTTTATTAAAGTTTCAAATTAGAAGACTAAATTAATTAATCTGAGATTTCTTAATTAATCAGTATTATATAAGGCTATTGGATAAAAATAGCAGTAATAAAAGAATATTTTACAAAGGTAAAAATAGAAGGGGATGGAATCGTAAAAGTTATATGAACGATATAATAATCATGTGTCTGTAAGGTTTTAAGAAGCCGGATTAACATTTGCAGCAAGAAAATGTCATATCCTGTATAAAGAATTAAATATATATGGGTTCGTTGTTAGTAAAGAAGGAATAAAACCTGACTCTAAACGAGTAAAAAGAATAATTGAATGCAAAGCCCAACTTGCCTTACGGAAGTACATTCATTCTTAGGAATGATGAATTATTATCGCCGCTTTATAAAAAATTTCAATAAGATGGCAAAGTACTTACTGATCTAACAAAACATGAAATAGGATATCGATAAGGAGAGGAGCAAGAGCTGTCGTTTCAAACTTTAAAGAATTTGTTACAAGATGAGGTTATGCTAAAAGCACCAAGGTGGGACAAAGAGAAGAGTGGAGAAAGGCCTTACCAAATGTTCACGGATGCTTGCGATGTATCAATAGGTGTGGTTTTGGAGCAAAATGAAGTATGTTGCATCAGGAACGCCATATCATTAAATTTGGGTTGGGATATCTTCATTTTAAGTTCGTCAATAAATTAAACCGTCTATTAAATTCAAGTAATGAAATTTTTTTAAAAAAATTGAAATGAAGATACCTCGGCAATTACCAAATTCGATGAGAATTTTTTCATAAGTAAATAGAATTAAAATAAAACATTCGTTGAATTTGGTTTAGTGGTTGTTGAGATATCTTTATTTAAACTTCGTCAATAAATTAAACCATCTATTAAATTCAAGTTGTAATAGAACCTTTTTAAAACGAAGTATCCTGACAACCACCAAATTAAATTCGATAAAAAAAAAAAAAAAATTATTTGATTCTACAAGCATGTGGAATCAAAATAAAATTTTCATCGAATTTGATTTGGTTTATCGATATATCTTCGTTTAAAGATCATTAATAAATTGAATATCTATTAAAATTCTAGTAGAATATTTTTTAACGAGATATCTAGACAACCGCCAAACCAAATTCGATGAAATTTTTTTTATTTTGATTATACAAGTTTGTAGAAACAAAATAAAGAATAGTTCATCAAAATTATGTTTGCAGTTATCGAGATATATTCGTTTAAGTTGTAAAAATATTCAAGTAATCTACATTATGTGATCGATTTTCTGTAAACGTGATTTCAGACATTATAGTGCTTTGCAAAAAGATGTGAGCCTATGATTTTGTTATGATAAACGAGAAAAATTTCCGAGATTCTAAATTGTCTATTAATTCATATTTTCGATCAGTTATATTTATATTTATTTGAAATTGGAAATATTCTTACAGAACCTCCGATTTTCATTTTGCAAAGCGCAATGAGCTAGACAATTAAAAATCGGGATCAGATGTAGTGTAAAAAACAAACGTTCACTTCAGCACTTTGCAAAAGAAAAAAGCGTTTATCTCGAAATTTTCGATAGTAGTCACATGACCGGTAAACGTCGCAAATTCAGAACTTTTCGATGAACGGCTATGGTTTCATTACAACATTAGTAAAATTTCTCAGATCTTTGGTAAATTTGATCAATTCCGGCCCATCCGACCAGGTCACAAGATGTAAACAGCCAATCAAAATGATCAAAATATTGAAGATCCTTAATATTCTAGTGAAGGTTTCTCGGTAATGGCTTGATTAATATGAAATAAAAAAAAAATCCATCGAATTAAAATTAAATCAGGGAGATTTTTCAACAACCATCGAATCAAATTTGATAAATTTTTTTATTTTAATTCTGTGAATTTATGGAAGTAAAATAAAAAAATTCATCGAAATTGGATAGGTAGTCGTTGAGAAATTTTACTAAAAGCAGCTTTCTTTTTTTTAGGTGCCTAAACTTTGGACGAAGATTACACCTGGTCAAACTCGATCAATTTTTTTTATTAATTATACAAGTTTATAAAAATAAAATAAAAAAATTTTGATCGAATTTGTTCAGTTGAGTGCCAAATAATCTTCGCTCAAAGTTTAGGCACCTATAAAAAAGAAGTTGCGGCTAATTTTTTCTAAAGCTTTTATGAAGATTTTTCAATAATCGTCTATCAAATTTCGATAATTTTTTTTATTTTAATTATATAAACTTACAGAATTAAAATAAATAAAAAAATTCATCGACTTTGAATCAATGGGTGTTGAGAAATCTTCGTTTAAAGTAAAAAAAAAAAAAAAAATTTACCCCGATTTTTACCGTATTTAAACCTTTTAATGAAGATTTCTCAACAACCATCTATCCAAAACCGATGAATTGTTTTTGAATTGTTCTTTATTTTAATTCTACAAATAATATATATATATATTTTACCGAGTTTAATCAAGTAATACCAAGAAACCTTTGCTAGAATCTTAAAATTTTTTTCGCATCTTAAAGGATATCCAATATTTGATCATTTTGATTGGCTGTTTACTTCACGTGACTAGAACCTTTTGCCAGTAAAAAATCAATGCAACTTTAGACTGATAATACAAAGCTAATAATGTCGGATATTGTGCAGAATCGAAAGAGCAAGGTAAACCGGTGTTTTCCGAAAATGAAATTAAAAAAAACGCAAATTAATATAAAGCTAATTTTTATTGATAAATTTTTACGGATCTCTGACTAGGGTTGGGGCATGGGTGTGATTTCAAATCATGACACGAGGTCGTGATGCTAAATCATTACTAATTACATGTGATGTTTGGTGTTATGCCGTGCCCCAACCCTACAGGGTACTCAAATTTGAAGATCAAGTGTAACGTAGCACAATCAGGACACTTCAAAACAAACCGTTGGTTTTGTTTATAACTCAAATTAACTCAATCATATATACGCGTCTGTTTTGCAATCATATACAAGAAAACAGAGTTTTTTGCGAAAATAATGATATTATTATTATTATTAACATCTACCTTATGCCTTCTACTTTATTCAAAAGTGAAAATTATAAAAATTTTGATCTACCGAATCCTTTTCTATACAAAAATATACGACGGAATTTTGAAAGGAACTACAAGAACTTTCTCATTATATATTAAAAGAATTTGTTGGGTATGTTGATAAATTCTGTTATTCCTATTATTATTATTATTTATAGTTCATAGTTCTTATTCTTTCTGTTGTTTAATTTGTTATTAATTTTTAGGAGTTTATATTGTTTCGAGATTGAGGCGTTCTTTTTACAATATTCATGTTTTTTATTACTCGAACGGTCAAAACAAAAGCATAGATTAAAAGAAACCTATATTTGATAAGCCTTTACTTCAATCTAAATTTGATGGCAATTTTGACCATATAGACACTTCATGGCGAGTGAATAATAATATGACGCTCTTTTCGTTAATACAAAAAAGTAATCCAAAGGTAGTATAAATTGATGCTGGAATGTGTAAGATTAAAATTTTTATGCTCAAGTTTTGAACAATTTATAATAGGTTTATAAACGAAACTTTCAAGAGGAATTCGTTCGAGAGACAAATAAAAATAATGCAAGTAAAATTAATCATTTTTTAATAATTTTGAAATTGATTTTTATATTGTTGATTATTGATTTTATTAAAAATTCTAGTGATTTATGATACTGGATCTCAATTATCAACTTGGACATTGACACTACAAATTTGTTGTATTGAGGAAAAGAAAACAGGGATCATACAATGTGTCAAAGTATTTGTTAATTTTTGCTTTTCGTGTGAATTATAAAGTGTAAATTTTTTTTTTTTGTATTTTTTTTTGTAAGGTCGATGCAAGGTTCTCAACAAATATATCAAAAACTTCAAGAGCGATTTTACTGAAATACTTTGCTACTCAACAAGAATATTATAAAAATTTGGCATATACGAAAAAAAAGAAATGTGGCATTTCAACGTTTCGTCAATATCAAATTGGTTTGTTTTTATATAGTTTTTATAATAATTCTAGTTTAATGAAATAAAAAAAATTTTTGTTAATCAATTGACATTTTAGGTGATATTGAAATTAAATATAACGGACCATAAGCATTGGTGCATAGAGATCTTGTTTCCATTTATGATGATACGCGAATGGTATAAAAAAATCAAATTACTGTTTTCAAGCAATAGTGAAATGAACATTTGTTATTTTTAGAATGTTAATGCGCAAAATGGTTATACACATTTAATAATGTCTTAAAATATTCAGACCATTATTAACACAACATCATACTTTTCACTTTTAGCTATCTAAGAATATGTTATAAAATTCCTGATATCAAAATAGATCATTCGTTATCCAGAAAGTTAATGAAATTAGTTCCGACAGATTCAATTGACATAGTTACTGTAATTGGAGAAACACAAACTACAAAATACCGGTTACATCGCCGAGAACAAGTAAATGTGAAATTTATAAGAGCATATATTGCTCACAAATAATATACCAAGAGTAAGTGTACTTGATATTTTTACTGCATTCAATATTTTTCTTATACACATATGTATATTTTTTCTTGAATAGATGCTCTTAACACAGAATTTAATATTTTTTTACATATACTTTTTTCTTGAATAGATGTTCTTATAACGTTCGCGCCTTTTATATTATACACAAAACATTTATGTGAAAGTATATAAGAATTTTGATAATGAAGGTCTACTAATTCTGGAAGCGGAATTGGTTACGAATCTACATTAAATGATAATTCTATATAGAGTTCACGACAACATTTATGTGAGTATATAGTCTATATAGAGTTCACGAACATTTATGTGAAAAGTATATAAGAATTTTGATAATGAAGGTCTACTAATTCTGAAAGCGGAATTGGTTACGAATCTACATTAAATGATAAATTATATAGAGTTCACGACAACATTACATTTATGTGAGTATATAGACTATATAAAGTTCACGACAACATTTATGTGAAATTCTATAAGATATATAGAGTTCACGACAACATTTATGTGAAAGTATATAAGAATTTTGATAATGAAGGTCTACTAATTCTGGAAGCGGAATTTGTTACGAATTTTCATTAAATGATAAATTCTATATAGAGTTCACGACAACATTTATGTGAGTATATAGTCTATATAGA